ATATCAGAGGGAAAAAATACGATATAATCCTTGTTCTCTTCTTTTTCTATTTGTATCCCCAAACCTTAGCAGCATGCCTTGCACACAGTAAATGCTTTGTTTTGTTTTGTTTTGTTTTTGTTTTAGGCAATTGGGGTTAAGTGACTTGCCCAGGGTCACACAGCTAGTAAGTGTCAAGTGTTTGGTCTGAGGTCGGATTTGAACTCAGGTCCTCCTCACTCCAGGGCCAGTGCTCTATCCACTGCGCCACCTAGCTGCCCCAAAAGAGGTTAACTGACTTCTTTTTATTTTATTATTATTATTTTTTGGGGACGGCTAGTCAACGGGGTTAAGTGACTTGCCCAGGGTCACACAGCTAGTAAGTGTCAAGTGTTTGGTCTGAGGTCAGATTTGAACTCAGGTCCTCCTGAATCCAGAGCAGATGCTCTATCCACTACACCACCTAGCTGCCCCACAGTAAATGCTTAATAAATGCTTCTTCCCTCATTCATTCTCAAGAAATTTGTAAGCTAAAGGGGAAGACAAAACACACATAAAAACTTGAGAACAACTCTAAATCTATGAGCATATTAACACAGTTGGGGCTCTTGAGTCCAAACTGATACTTTCCTGTGTCCTTTCCTCTACCCCATTAGCTCACAGCAAATCACACTAATTTAGATGAGCAAAGATTTTTTTTTAAACTGTGCCTCCTTATCTTGCTCAGGCTGGAAGTACCCACTCGTCCTCCTCTCACTGGCATGGGAACTTTGACCTGCTATGTTTCTGTCTTGGGTCAGCTTGCCTCTCCGTAGACAATTTGGGACCCTACTCTCTTCAGGGCTGACCATGTTAATGCCCAACTTAGTGTATAACCCCGTAAGTTTAGCCCACTACAGCTCAGAACTCTTTAGCTCAAGAGACCCATCAGCCTCAGCCTCCTCAAGTAGCAGCAGGCACACAGAATATTTTCATGCAAGCCAAATCAGGTTAAAATAAATGTCAAGGTCAGCCTTAAAGGGGGAAAGAAGAGGATAACCCTGAAGGGTCATACAGGGAAGGACAAAGAGCAGTCCCATCCAATTTTCCTGGATGATAGGGATTGGATTGGGGGCAGGGGTAGGGAGAGCAAGGGATTAATTCCTCCAGTCTTTTGTAGCAGTGTTCTCTTTATCACTGGACATCAAAAAGCTTGAGTTGATGATTACCCTAAGGATAACTGCCTCCATGACTCCCCTCGGACTCGGAACCCAACTGCCATGGCTGGTGAATACCCTGTGTGCTCCTTCAGGCTGCCCCAGGAAATTTAGAAATGTTCAAGTCAGAATGAAAAAAAGTTGGGCAGACTTGGGTGTGGACCCTCTAAGAACAAAAATATGCAAACAACAGAAGAGAAAAACAATAGGCTAGCGGTCCTTCAAGTTTAGTCAAATATAAGTGCCTACTGTGTGTAGAGCTCTGTGTAGGTGCTGGAGAAAAGAGAAATCTGAAATAAGGCCTGTTTCCTTGCCCTCATGGAAGATCCAATCCAATAAGGAGGATAAGATAAACCCAGATGTTGAAGATAATGCAATATTATTTTCCATAAGGTCATTAGAAAGTTTCCAAACAAAAGTGCTAAAATAACAGCTCTTATTTTTATAGCATTTTAAGATTTACAAGGGGCTTTCCTCACACCTCTTCTGTGATGTAGATAGTATGTGTGTTATTAACCTATCTCCTTTGCTGACATGTAAAGCTGGCAATTCCCTTGGTAAGCTTAATGGATTGTCATGCATTGTAAGCATGGGCCCAATCCAACACTATTTTTCTCCTCTTGCATGGGGTGTGGCTTCCCACAACCCTGGTAGCCTGAGGGGAGTCACAATAAAGGGCCCTTCTAGCTCCAGCCAGCTCTATTCCTATGAAGGGTGTGTTTCACTCTCCAAGGTGGTATAGAGAGAGATTCTAGGGCAGGCCCTCAGGGCTCTTTCCAAAGTACAAGAAGTACAAAAGCCTTGGCTCCCTTTCTTTTGCAAAATACACTATGATTCTTATGATTCTCAGCAGATTGGGGGGCCCGTTTGTGAAGCTTTAAAGGATCATAGTAGTGAACCCATGATAATTTTACTCATTCTAAACAAAAAGGACAAGGACAAAAGGGGATTTTTAATTAGTTGGGATCTCATGATCCAATGTCTTAAATAAGAGTAATAGAACCTATGTGGTCATGTTGTTTTAAATGAGTGCTTAGATAGCACCAAAAGAATCCCTGAAAATCTAGGAGGGGCAGGGCTGATGGAAGGAAATACAGGCCAGTTCTAAGTTCTGCTAGTTCAATTAGTGGTATATTAGAGCAGAAGCAGAGCTCTCCAAGGCTCCCACAATTGCACATTTTCAGGATATCTTGATTCCCATGTTAGCAAGGTCCACTAATTCTACACCATCTGTCAGTTGTTCATTTAGGTCTGGTCTGCAGGGGGAAAGTGTAAAAATGCTACCTTTTCTGTCCTATTGGGTATAAATACAACCTGAGTAGCCCTTTCATTGCTTGGATTCCACAATTTGCTCATTTCATCATTGACAAAGGACAATGACCCCTACAGAATTTTTTGCTTGGATAGCCAAAAATGTATTTATACATCAATGTTTCAGCTTACCTACTGTAGCTTATGCAGATAAATGGTGTCTTTTTTTTTTTGGTGAGGCAGTTAGGATTAAGTGACTTGCCCAGGGTCACACAGATGGTGTCAAGTGTCTGGTCTAAGGCCAGATTTGAATTCAGGTCCTCCTGACTTCTGGTACTCTATCCACTGAGCCACCTAGCTGCCCCATTAAATAGTGTCTTTAAAGATACGTAATTTAGGAAGAATCCAAAGCAAAATTGTCCTAGTTGAATTAATGATTCTTGAGGATGAACACAAAGACTGGGAAGAGGAAACAATGGATTAATGGGTTAAAATAACTTTCCTGCGATCATGTTAGTGCCCCTGGCTATATATTTTGAACAGAAGGAACCTTTGAGATCAATTAGTCCAACACCCTCATTTTACAGAGTTCTCAAGGGGTTAAGGAACTAACTTGCCCCTTGGTTAAGGCCCCAGAGGTTAGCAGGATTCAAACCCACATTCTCTGACTCCAAATCAAATGTTCTTTCCATCTTATCATTAACTATTATTGTGCTTTGGGACTCTTAAGAGAACCATTATGGCTTTTTCTCTTGATACTAGATATATCTGTTATGAGTCCAGGCAATTTAAAAATATAGAATTCCATAATACCAGGAGCTAATAAGTACACCTCTTTACACATCAACCAGTTATTATGGAGTTACACAGAGTGGGGAGAAGAGAAGCCTCAATTCTTAAAAACAAAACAAGACTCAGACCAAAAAAATAAAATCCTGTAGTGAACAGTGTTCAATTATGGAGGAGCTAACACTAGAGGACTGAAGATGGATAAGAATGGTTTGCCTTGGTTTAAAATATAGTACATTGACAATAACACACCTTTACTTAGAAATGTTTCAAAGGGCAGCTAGGTGGTGCAGTGAATAGAGCACTGGCCCTGGATTCAGGAGGACCTGAGTTCAAATCCAACCTCAGACACATAACACTTTCTAGCTGTGTGACCCTGGGCAAGTCACTTAACCCCATTGCCTAGCCAAAAAAAAAGTTTCAGAAAGTCTTTTTAATCTGGGTTGTTGGTATTAAGATAGTTGCTAAGGAACTATCTACATGACGTACCTCATTAGGAAAGCATAGGCTATATATAAAAAGAATGGTTAAGGAAGCACTGTGGCATCATCCATAGAGCTGGCTTAGGAGTCAGGAAGACATGGATTCAAGTCTTTCCTCTTACACATACTGGCTATGTGATGATAGACAAGGCCCCAAGCAATTCTCTTAGGACTATAAGTTACAGAGGAGTTGCCAATACAGTGGTGGAAGGAGTTTGCATGCTTCCAGTTCATTATAGCAATGAAATAGCAGGTATGGACCAAAAGGTAAAAAAAAAACCTATTCACAAACAAGTAAGGTTAATCTGTACTTTCAATTGGTTATCTTATTTACCTGAGATGAAAGTCCTATTCCAATGATACATCTAGAAGATGGGTCTCTGGGTTCTTTAAGATTGTGCTGGAACAAGCTCCTACAGATCCTACTGAACTTGAAAGGCTTTAGGTATGCTCTTGGTAGAGGACTGTGTACTGTCCAAGGAGCAGCCTAGCTAAGTATGAAGACAGTGATCACCAGCAGTTTGACCTTGATATCCCATGATAATTATAACAAAAAATAAAATCTTTTTTTTATAAATTTACCCCTCTAGACTTGTTAATTATATGGTGGTGGTGGGAAAGGGAAGTTTGATATCAATCTCACTTTTAAAATATTAAGTAATATAAGTACATGTACATAGAACACAGTTCAAAACCTAATTATAACCAGTTTGAAACTCAGAAGCAATCATCTCTACTCCCCAAGACTTTAGCCCCACTCTACTGAAATTTGCAGATTTGTACCTGGCAAAAGAATATTATGCTGTCATAATTATGCTTGTAGAATTATTAAAATGGTGAAAACTGCCAAAATGAGAATGGATACAGACTATGGATTTGTACCCTTTTTAGACCTATACTGCCCATCATACAAATGATATTTAATTTTTTTCTTCAAAACTTCCCTTAAGCTTTCTTAGTAGAGGATGGGGTGGGGGTGGGGGGGAGGGTGGAATTGCTGTTTCTGTAGCTCACTTACATGGTTGAATTTGTATTTTGCATGTGGCCAGATAGCTTCATATAGGAATAAACGAGGCCCCACAAATGGCATCATCATGGCATTCCATTAAATTTCCCATAAAGCTTTTTCCATAAAGCCTCCACTTGCACAGTCATGGGACTGCTATTTTCCTAGTTTGCTATGAGCTCTCAGTAAGCAGACCCATTTTCTTCTACAAAGGCCAGCTTGTTGTTGTTGTTGTTGTTTGCTTGCTTGCTTGCTTGTTTTTTTGTTTTGTTTTTATTGTTGTGTGCTTTCTCACAGAGTTCATTAGGATGCATTGTACTTCCAACCCGGATTGGTGGATGCCATCAGAGGAGCAAATAAATAAAGTATTCAGTGACGCAGTTGGCCATGCCCGGCAAGGACGAGCTGTGGGGACTTTCCTACATAATGGCGGTTCATATTATGAAGGGATTGAGCATCAGCTTTCACAGGATGAAGTCCTCAATAAAGGTTCCCAGGATGCAGCTGGAGATTGATGGAAATCAGAGGAAATCTGTTCCACAGTAGCAGCCAGCCAACTAGAGAATACTGATTGTGAGATGAACTGTTAATATCAATTAGGAGTCCAAAGCATTTCATATTCAGTCATACTTTTGACACCCTACCTTTTCACCCTCTTATCCTAGTGCACAAGTCCCAGATAGAAATCTATTTCAGGGTCAGCTTGGGAAAACATTATGCCTACTACAGACTTTTTAAAGTCATTAATGGAAAACTACAATTGATTTCAAATGCTTTAAATCTAGACTGTCAGGTGGGAAATATAAGTGGACTTGCAAGAAACCTTTATGAAATCATTAAATGCTGCCATTAAAGTTGGCTATTGATCTCATAGTAAATGTTGCTCAGTATTCTTTCCATAGGAGAGGGTGGAGATTTTCACAGTTGTTTTAAGGTAAGTGATATTTGAGAAAGCAGGACATATATAAATTAATGCATTGCTTTAATATCAATAAATTCCTTTTTTTCTTATAGATTATTGAACTCCTAATCTATAACAACTCAGACAAGGCATACATGGCTTTAGTAGGCTATTCCTATACTAGCAAAGTGCAATATTTAAAAAAAAATCAATCCTCAAAATACAGAGAACATAGAATCATCTATATGCTCATGGGTTATTTGCAGTCAGTTCACACTCAGTCAGATATTCCATCATGTTGACATAGAAGGTACCATGTCATCTCTGGAGTTTACAAAAACTGTAATACATTTTGTCTACTCAGCAGAGAATCATTCAAAAGCCATCTTTCAAATGTCTGAAATCACAGATTCATAGAACCACCATTTCAGACACCTTAAACAAGGCTATGTTTACACAATTCCAAAATAATTGGTTTAAAAATGGAAATTCCAATCAGTTGCTTGGTCTGCAACTATGCCAAAAATTGGCTTGGCTCATTCTTCTCTAAATCGAACAGATGTTCTGATGTCATAATAGACACAGCTTCAATGCCATTCAGTTTATTATGCAACAGGATTTTCAGCAATTCTCCATGAAACTTGTTCATTTTCTGTCATGAACTGGCTTCTCAGCTCTTCTTTTTTTGTGTAAAACTTTAAAACTTCTATTTATTCTTCTATTTGTTCCACCAACATTGACCAAAATGTATTGACATGGCTCTCAAGAGCAACAGGTGATAGCTATGTCAATGGCATCCCCTCCCTCCACACACATTTCATCTGTAGAGCTACATGTGTGAAACTAAAAATGTCCTTGAAATCTGTCCTTATAAAAAGTGTTATATAGATGAGATGCTAGGATAATTATGCCTGAGGGCTCCAGGATCAGATGTCAAGTGACACTTCCTTTTTGAAACTATGCCAAATGATTGCATTTCTTTATAGAAAGAGAGTGGTAAAATGGCAGCTTTTATTGAGTATTAAAGCCGTTCACGGAATGGCTACATGAAAATGATGCTGAGTGTATTTAATGTGGGTGTGTCTTGCACACAATGGACGCTCAATAAATATTTGTCAAGTGAATTAAAATGTACATGTTTACATTTATAAAATATTACCTAGCTGGGTTTTTGTCTAAGTAACAAATTGCCCCTTCTCATTCACTTATTCATTTGTTTATTCACTCAACAAATACTTATTGAGAAGATACTTTCACCAATTGCTTGTTTCTTTTGCTTTGATTTACAGCATCATTTCATAATTCTAAAGTTCAAATTTTATTTTGTTATTACTATAGATTTGTTGTTGCCTAACCTATTAAAGGGTATGTGCTAGGAAACACAATGTCACAACATTGTTGAGACACAGGGGCCAACAAATTAAAGTAGAGCAACTACAATGTACTGGTGCCTATAGATACCTATTTAGACAGTTGTTGACGATGCCCACATCAGCATCCATCTTCAAAATCCAAGAAGGAAAGATACTTCACATTTTGAAGGCCATCAGGGAATTGCCTTGGCTGAGAGGAATGGGACCTTTTGGAAGAGACAAACCTATCACTGGGGGTCTGATGACTTTGGGTCAGAGAGGAGACCAAACTGAAAGTAAAGAGATGTATTAACACACTAAAGAAGGCATATCTTACTATTGGCAGCTTTAGCTTCTTAGGGGACAAATTGGGTTTTTTCAAGCTCAGTTGTAGTACAAAGCAAATCAGCAGCATTATGTATCAATTTAAGATAGATAAGTAAAACATTTTGCAAGAGAGGGAGAGGGAGAGAAAAAGAGTGATCAGCCAATGGAGAAAAAGGGAGTATTTGAAATACAACTGGCAGGATTTATTACTGGAATAAGAAAATATTCCATGTTCAAGAGTAGGGAACAAGGCTAAGTGACCAAATACTTTTACAGTTAAGAAAAAAGTCCTTTTACACAAAACTGCAGAATCTCTTATCCAAGTAAAGCAAGTAGTTGTCTTTACAATATCTTTAGTTTGTTACTATTTTATTTCTCCTTCAATAGGAGTTGGGTACTTTCTAGTATTAGGCCACCAGGTGGTTAAGGGACTAGTCCATCAAGATCTTGCAGGACGATTGTGGTTGCTGTTTTTCCTCCACAAGGGCTTATTCAGAAATCAGGGCCATCATTATTTAAGCATAAAACATTGGCCAGGAAAGAAAATACTCATGATTGCATCATCTTTCTCTTACATTTGAATAAGTTCTATTTCTTTGGACAGGAGGAGTTGGGCATTCCCCTTTGCTGTTACTCCCAAAACAAATCTGCTTTTTCTGAAGGAATGAAACTTGTGGCCAGGAAATCTCTACATCATTTTTTTTTTCTAAGCAAGTGAAAGGATGCACTAAATGATTTCTCTGACTTCACCTGGAAGGTCTTAGGCCTTGCTGATCTTGAATCAAGGCAGCTTGTTCCAGGGTGAGCTTCTCTGTCAGAACTCTGTATCTAAATATAAATTGGAATAGATCAGGAAAATGCTGTTCTTGTGTCAATATGACTAAAACGACTTATGGTGATTCGTCCATAATCATTTCCACTTACTGCCATCAGCACAGCTTGAATAGACAGTTGTTGAGGCTTTGACTATAGGCATCACACCAACTTTGTTGAAAAAGAATCACTATCTCTTGACGACTATATCTTGAGTTGTTCTGTTTGCCTCTTGTTTCCTGATATTTCACATTCGCTCTGGAATGGACTTTGAGGAGGTTCTTGTCCAACCCCCTCATTTTATAGATCAAAAAATGAGGTCCAGAAAGATGTAGTTATGTCTATCACACCATGCTGGTTTTTTACTGTTTCGGTGAGTCCCTGAAGTGTTTCTTCTGCCCATCTGACCTTAAGCTGCCTCATAGCATCTGCTTAGACACCTGTCTCACACAGAAAATCTTGGTGGCATTGAGCATCCCTTTTCAGGACGCTATATTACCATGGCTCTAGGACCTCAAGGCCCCGGTGAGCCCATAGTGCCATTTAGGTTTTTAAGTAGGGATCAAATACTATTAAGTGGTTAAGAAGTCATAAGTATCCCTATGGGTGATACAAGTATTTATAACCATCATGAAGGTTGGACATATTACTGCCCTAGGGTCTTTTAGCTTGGGTTGGAGTTTGTTCAAGTGATCAGCTCTTGTCTTTTCATCCTGCAAAATATACTGGCTTCTTTTAATTGGTCTTCTACATCATTGTTTGGCAGTTTTAGCATTACACCATCTTTCAGGCCCCTTCAACACATTACTTTGAAATTCTGATAAGGTTATAATTTCATTATTGTGAGTATTCCTTCCACCAAAAGAGAATTCATCCCATTTTGGATGATTTGTGTTTCCATATTCACATAATTTCCTCATAGAGTATCTATCCAACACACCGAAGACCTTCCTCTAGTTTTTTATATGTGTGTACGGATGAGGAAGTAACAGTGTAGTCTTCTGTCTATCTGTTGTCTTTTTCTCACCTATATAACTAATCTACTTCCTTTTCTGGGCAAGTGTGTCTTTGATGATGGTGAAAGTGCTTTCTAGACTTTAAGGCACTTTATAAATATGCATCATTCATACTACTTTTACAAGTCATGTTGGCAACATGCTGCTTTCTACTTACCCCTACCATGTGTCTTTTTATTGTCCTTTAGGCTATTTGTAATGTTGTGTCTTCTAAGATCTCGGTAATTATTCACAGCCATCTAGCATCACCAGGAGAATCCTAGTGTTGAAGAGATGGCCTTTTGTGGCAGCAAGTCTCCCCAGATCTCAGGTTGATCCTCCACTGCCAGCATGGCAATAAATAAACAAAATGGAGCTGTATTCTGAAATGATCAGACCACTTCTAAGATAACGTGGTCAGTTCTTGGCCTCACATTTTAGGAGGGTCATCAGAAAGCTCTAGGAAATCCAGAAGCAACAAGGATATTGAAGGAAATGAAAGTCATTCCAATGAAAGGAAATAGCCAAAAGAGGGGCACAGTCTTCCCTTATTTGGAAAGTTATCATGAATGTAGTCAGGAAGGTCTCATAGTGCCCTATATTTTTTCCTGTGTATATCATGTCTCAAAGGTAAAGCCTATATTTCACCTTGTGGGCTGAATCCATACTGCCATGGATTCAGTTGTGCAGAACCTACACGGAACTTTTAGGCCAGGATCTTGTCAAGAAAGAACCAATATATCACAAAGATAGCAAAAGCTTTTAAAATTGAAAGAGGCCCCAGGGAGCAGTCAGTCTAACTGTCTTATTTTGCAAAGGAGGAAAATAAGGCCTAGAGATTTACCCAGTCAAATAGCTAGGTAGCGGCAGAGCCAAGACTAGAACCTAGATCTCCTGAATCTCAGGGTCCAAGAGGCTTTCCATGACAGCATATTACCTCCCTAATAATTATGGCACTTAGCTTTTTGGCCTTTTGAAGATGATGGGTTCAAAATCCTGTGGATACTACTCTCAGCATTTCATCTATACAGAAAAATGTCCATACAGATATCCAAATAGCTCTTTTCTCCCTATTTGAAAGTCCCAGGAGATATGCTACTAGTCTGTAGAACTTACCATCATATTCCTTACTTTAATGGTGACTTCCTCCAGACATGTAGCTAAGTCTCTAATGGCTTTGAATGGTTCTCTAGGCTTTAGAGCAAAGGTGTTAGGGGTGACCTGAACCAGATTAAAATGTAATTGAGAAATACTTAACAAAATAAATAAAAATACAATAGAAAATAATGTTAAAATGTGGTTTTCTATATGATCCTATGATCTGATGACATATGATGAACAGTTCACTTGATCCTGGATATCTGAGGCATTATCATCAAATCAAATTTGATGATGTTGGCTAACGGTGCCTTTGATGTTAATGGTTGTCTGTTGAATGTTGAATACTGAGGGCAGGCCAGTTTATTCAAGAAACAAACAAAAACAAAGATAATTTGAATTATCCAAAACATGCACATTCAATGCTTCACAGTTTATAGAATAGCTGATCTTCCGCTTCTACTCACTTGCATATTCTAAAAAGTGGCATTTCCCCCTTTTATTGGCAAGAGAAAGGACTATGAATATAGTCAACAGGGGCATCATACAGTCCAATAAACTGAACAGGCTAGCAATATACAATACAACTAGGTCCTGATCAATGAATAATGAACCCCATGAAGCAGTCACATGCATTCAGACTAGCACTTTTTGAAGTCAGAATTGTATAAAATAAGGTATTTGGTTCTAGGTCAGTGGAAATATGCGGTGCAAATATGAATAATATGACAACTTCATGGAATTCCTTATTCACGCTTATTGGCCCTAGATGTATAAATAGCTGCCGGCTCACTGGTAGCAGACAGTGTCTGGTTACTTTTTTGACAAGTCCATGTTCACTTCCTGCATTTAGAGTCTCATGAAGTATATGCTTTAAGACCTAATCTAAACATCATCAACTACCTCTTTGGGTTTGTTTTGATTTCTAGGGGAAAAACTCAAATTCCTCACTTCATGTCATTTAGTGAAAGAAAAATACCATGCTCCCTTCACAGTACAGATCTTCTGTGGTAGATTTTGGTGGCACTTAAATTCAAATTTATAGAAATATAATAGAAAATGACTTTGCACATATGCTGCAAGTCTTGCTGGTGTGTGTTTAATGTGGTTACATTTGCCAAAACTGCTTGGTGAAATGTCTTCTAATAGAACGCTTGAGTCAGAACTCTACTGTAAATGTGTCTAAACAGCAATATGTATCATTGATGATGTATTTTTGTAAACATTGTGATGGTTTCTTTCAAATGTTATGAGTATGGGATAAAAATAATCATTTCACTTGGAGTAATGTCAAAAATATCATACAGTTGATCATAGACCTCTACAAAGTTACCTACTTGGCTTTGCTGGGTTTGGTGGTGGGAAGCACGGTTGGCACTCTGTGTGTGTGTGTGTGTGTGTGTGTGTGTGTGTGTGTGTGTGTGTGTGTATCTCTATCTCTGTCTCTCTTTCCCTCCCTCCCTCCCTCTCCACTGACTTGGAATGCTAGTATGATAACCCAGTTGCAACCACTATATTAGGGCAGTTTTCCCCTTCATCTCTGTCTCTGTTTGTCCATCCGTCTGTCCTTCCATCCATACTTCTATCTGTCTGTCAGTCTCTCTCTTCTCTCTCTCTCTCTCTCTCTCTCTCTCTCTCTCTCTCTCTCTCTCTCTCTCTCTCTCACACACACACACACACACACACATACACACACATTGTAGACACAAACCCCTGGATAAGTCAGTTTGGTTCTCTAAAGTATTACATTTGGGGACCTATGTGAAGGTAATCCTAATTATGGCCTCTCACTTATTTCCCTCATGATCTTTCATGAGTGGCTAGCAGAAGGACTATGTTTCGAATGGCATAGAATCTCTAGGTTGTACTGAGTATATGTTGTGGTCCATTTCAGAAACCTGCTCATATGTAGATAAGGACATAAATCTCTAAACAAACATATCAGTCAGTCCTGCCCAATTTTGAAAGCCCATTTGGAATCACTCTGAACCATTAGGCCCAGTCACTCTAAACTGGGCGGAACCAAATAAACTGCGGTGGTAGTGCAGTTGCCTTCCACATCTTTCCTTGTCATTGATGCAAAGTTCTCAAGCCTCACCTGTTTCCTCAATACTTCTTAATGGGGCAAATATTTTGTTCACTGTGCTGAGTTCATCAAGGACAATTTAATGCTTGCATTTTCCTAAGATTACTTTTGATTCTGAGCTTAAGAACATGTAAAACAAATCCAGTTCTCACTACTTGGGTAGCTTTTCTGAAAACTGGCAGGTCTCTATACATGGACTGCAACCTATGTAAAAGCCCAGAGCAAAGGCCACGTAAAAATTAGAAAATATTTCAAGGAAGTAAGTGGTTAAATATCATCATCACTTCCTGCACAGTTCAGTTAGCACAGGTTCCCAGTTATAACAAACTGCAGCTCAAAAAAAGCAAGTTCTTTTAGAAAGACTATTCAGCAATGACAGGAATCAGAAAGAGGCCCCATCATTCCTCTCACTTTCCACATTTTCTGATTATTTTAGCCTTAGAATTGACTGGAGTCAAGGTTCAGAAGGGAAAGATTTTTTCATTACTTAATATCACTGTGAGAACTGCCCTGGAGACTTTGTAGAGGATCAATCCTGATCTCTGATTTTTTCCTATCACTTTGGCTTTGTTTAAATTATGTGGGAAAAAGGACCTGTGGGTGAGACCTACAGGTGACCTATAAGTGCCCATGTTGGGGGCTTAGGCTTGCCAGAACTACATGAACTCTGAAGAAAGCTCCTAGGTCATTAATCCAACCAAACCCTGCACAATTTAAACACTGCCTTGGTCTACCTTCCTTCTCTGTAATTTCATGTAGCAGCCCCAACACTGGTGCCAACATGCCTTTACTCAATTTTTTATGACAAATACTTGTGGAGAAACTGTGATAAAACCATTGATCCTAATATTTTTATTGTTAACAGTGTAGTTATTTCTCTATGAATAATTTCTATTTGATTGTACTGTGTAGTGTAAATGCCCATTAGGGATAGGTAAATACCAGGTACCATACAACTGCAAGTGCATAGTGTAATATAGACTAGAAAGGGGTTTTTTTTGTGAGCAATTTCTATAGAAAGTAAGAGTTGTTTTCTATGTGTTAGCACATTTATTTCAGTAATTTTAAAATGTTATAACACTTTTTTAAACCTCTAATATTTTTAATTACAAAAGACATTTGTTACTAGAGTTTGCTATTTCAGGTGTTTCTCTCTAATTTGAATATTGATTTGATTACCTCACAAACCTCTAGAATGCCATGTGTTCTGTTGGGAAAAAAATGCACAATAAATGTCAAGACTGTGGTTAGTGTTTTAGTATTTCTTTAACAAATTCGCATAATTCTCCAAACTATATATACCATTTAACTTACCTATGAATGAATCCTTTGTTCCTTTGCACAAACAATGTGCATATTCCTTTGGCATGACTGGAGCACCCTCCTCTCATACATGGGGTCCCCAGAATCTCTACTTAAGGTTCAAGGTACTCTTGAGGGTACATGGCTACTCAAAACAGTGGCTCACAAGACTCTGCCTGCGTGTTTACATTTTCTTTATCTCCAGAGGACACAATCAGCTCAAAGCAAAAATATTTAATGAAATACTAAGAAGATCTGCAACAGAACATCCTTGCCCTTTCCACAAACCGAGAATGCACTCTCCCACAAATGTACACACCAGCAAGGGAGAAGTGGGCACACATAGGGATCGTGCATGGGAACCCACATAGGGAGAATACATACGGAATTCACACCTTGGATGCTGTGGGACCACTGATGCCTTCTGGTGAGGTCATCCTACTGTTTTTACTGGATCCGCTCCCCACTGTATGTGGCATGTCTGATAGGTATGTGGCCCTGCTGGCCTCATGGTGAAAGGAAGGCACGTAGCCTCCATTGCTCCCGTGGTAACACTAGTCCAGTGGTGATCTTTACGTAGTCAGTCCTCAGTAGGTGCACTGCTCTCCCAGGACCAGTATCACTTGAGTGTTGCTTTGGTAGTGGCTAGGTCCAAGCTACTAGGGATCTTCTCTTCAAGACTTCCCGAGCCATCTAAGTATCAGAATTCTAGAGCGTAGCGGACACAATCTTTACCTCAAAAGAGCGAGCTCGCAGCTTTTCAGCTACAGCTAACAAATCCAGTCATAGGACTCCCAAGCACTAAGATTTGTCTTTCTTTTTGATTCCTAAGTCTCAGTGGAGATCAAAGCTCTCAGTTACTTGTTTACTTAAATCTAGGGTAGGGTTAGATACTGCCAAACCCTCTCAGGATTAACATGCAAACAAATTTGACTCTGAACAAAAAGTAAGCTAAGGACCCAGCCATCTTTATTATGGATAGCTTTTAGCAGCCAAGTCTGATTGTTTTGGAGCTATTTTTTTGGCCTCCAAAAAAATCTCAGTCTGCCTTACCTCTTTCTGAAGGAGAAGGTCTCCTGCTTGAATAGGAAAGCTAAGGAACAGCCAGAACACAACAAAGTTTCCTTCACCATTTGAGTAGGACAGGTAAAAGACCAAAAGTATTTTAATTTTTTGACTTGAATTAATTAATAAAAAGATTTATACAAACATTGGACTGAGGCAGTCATTGTCTTAAGAGGTAATGTTGTTCCAAGTAGTTTTCAACATAATTCTGCATTCTTTATACATTCACACATTATAATACCCAGTGCATGCTTACAGTATGCAAACAATATAAACATTACCTCTCTAAGAACAAACTACCAACCTGTTTATTAGAGGTTCTAGTAAGCATCTTATGTCAGTGCCCACAACAAAGTTCCCTCTCTGCCCAGCCAAAGACTGTGTATTTCCATCCAAGATGGTCTGCCTAGTAGGTCTCTGTCAATCAGCACTGCCCTCAGGGAGACATGAGATGCTCCAGTCTCAAGTGCAGGAACAGCAGGAGTCTGCCCTAGTCACAACCCAGAGGCAAGGGCCTCTGGTGGGTTTTTTTATAGTTCTAGCAATGGGTATTCCTAAATTGTTTGCCATACAATTTGTTGGATAAATCATTATGTAAGTTACTTATAAAGTTGTTCATAATATTTTTCCATTGGTGGTCTGTCCTATCAGAGGGTCCACAAATGTTTATGAACACACACATGCTGTTTACTAGATCATACCACACAAGTGTTTATCTTATTATTGAAAAACAACTAATAGGGAAACAATTTATTCAAAACAACTAAATCACTAAATGGAGGCTTAAAACAAAATGGAATCAGTTATGCTAAGTCAACAAACTCATTCCTACTGTCTTATTAAGGTAATCAAACATTCTTACTCTACTCTACTCTCTAGATGCTAGCTATCCCTGCCACTCTGTAAAATGATTCATAAGCACCTAGGACAGTCTATAACTAATAACATGATTAGTATGACATAATCCAAATACCAATTCCAAACATGCAATGTTTATATTGTTAGATTAGGGAAAAAATGGTGCACACAATCATTAATATTACACTAACCATTAACACGTTTTAAATAAGTTCTTAACGGATAAGGGAAGGAAGGTTCTGGCTTAAAATTTTTCCATTCATCTCAGGGTCTCTCATGGAAAGCTTGAAGCCCAAGCCAGCTACAAATATAAAAGTAGATGTTGCTCAGCCTTTTAATTTCTTTCCATCCTTGTTTATATTCAGCAACCTTTTGCCTAGCACTAATGATCACATCATTCATTATGCATCTTTCTTCTTGCAAAGTCTGACCTAAGTCTTGATCTATACCACCTCTAGATGATGCCTAAGAAATTGTTGCATATTTTGGTAAAGTTCTGTTGTATTTTAGTCAAATCTACTTCCGAGAGGTTGTATAAGTAGGTGGCATTCCCCACTGTCATGTTGGGAAGGTTTTATATCACTGTGAATCCTTCTTGTCATGACTGCAAGGTACAGGAACAGTTGGACGTGGAACAATCTAACAGAGAGTGAAGCCATGCTTGGTTCCAAGTGGCTACAAGAGGGTGCTATGAGGTGATCTCCAGGAATGGGTTATATACTGAGATATGCAGAGACCAGAAGCAGTAGAGTCAGGAAGGCACTGATGCTGAAACCACAGTAAATGCATATCTGTTTAAAAAAAAAACTTGGCAAATCTCTGTACATAAGCTGTCTTAAGGAACCTGGAATTGTTTACCAGGTCCACCTGTGACCCATACTGTATTCTAATTTCCTGCCACAGTAGCCTCTATAGGAATTGATGGTCTGAGGATCTGTTACACCACATTTCTGCTCTTTCAGTAAGGGCTTCTCCTTTAAATCAAAAGAGGATGATGCTATCATTTTAAACCTGTCCATAGGTACAAGACGGTTTCTCCTAGCTGCATGATTCACTTTGCTCATTGCTGTTCTAATCGCTGTTTTCTGATCAGTGGCCTTTGTTTCTTCTAGGAGTTTCTAAACTTGTGTCTTATGTATTCTATTCAATATTTTCTATCATTCCTGCTGCTTGGGAATTAGAAGCTAGGTAAAAATTCTACATGATTTCTTTGGCCTTGGTCTGTTTTGTTTTTTTTTTTATTTTGTGGGCAATGAAGCATCATCCTTGACCATTCTACTATCACAGGATGACTGGAATAATTAATCAATAAACTTAGTCCTTTAATAGTGGAGTCAGGATACAGGAGGGAACAAAATCTAGTTCCATGGATGTGCACAGAGCATTTAAGCAAGTTTGGGGGGAAGGGAACGGGCATTTATTGAGTGCCAACTCTGTGCCAGCCATGTGCTAAGTGCTTGACAAATACTACCTCCTTTGAGCCTCACAACAACCCTGTGAGGTGTTATGATTGTTCCCAGTTTACATTTCAGTAAACTGGAGCAGGCAGTGGTTCAGCAGCTTGCCCACCCAAGGTCACAGAGGTAGTGTTAGAGGCCGTATTTGAACTCAGGTCTTCCTGATTCCAGCCCTAGCACCCCACTCATTGCACGACCTAGCTGCTCATCATTTAGCAGGCCAATATTATCTATTTACCTGACTCATCCTGGAACCCAACCTCTGGTGATGGATCCAGGTAGCAGTCTGAATTAATGACCTAGCCATCTGGCAAACATGGAACAGCAATATTGTAGATCTTCTCTTCTTTCTCTTATACTTAGACCCAGTTTATTTTGTGTCCAGTTCACTGAGATTCTATCCCTGTCACTATTCTCCTTCACTTCTACCTTCCTTGGTTTGTTGATACGATCTACTCTCATAATGGAAATCTAATAACTGGCTCCATCCAAGCCAGCTGCAGCACACCATCACCTTCTCCATGCACAGGAAATCCACTACAAGAGAGTGTGTTCTGCTAATCTTCTACCTTCTGCTACTGGAGTTTTAATAGCTTGGGCTAGCGTCTAATCCTAAGGCATCATCCCTAAACTTTTAACCCCCTCATGCTCTAGCCTTGATGGCTTTACTACCTGACTGATAGACTCTTAGTAGCCAAGCAGCATCTGTTTCTTCCAATTTCTGAACAAAGTTATTAAAAATTTGACCTAGTTCAGTTCTGTTGTAAATTCTGGTTTGTGCACTAGTGACTACATCTTTTCCATCCTTAAAAATCTGTAGATCTGTTAGAGGATGTGAGACCCCCCAAGAGAGTTATCTAAATCCCCATATCCACCTTTAAGTGGATCATTTGTCCCACAGTCAAATGGGTCACTGGTCCACACTGCCCTTTATTTATTGTTTTTACTGTCCTATATCCGAAAGCTACTTGACATAGTACCTCTAATGCAACCCAGATCATCTATTCATTGTTTTATTCTCTCTTAACCTATTTTCTATTTCCATAGGAGATTTCTGTGAAATCATGTCTATTTTTTTTTCTTCTCCTAATTTTCTAAGTAAAAAAATCTTGATATCCTATAGGGGTTGTGTTTTTTAACTTATGTTCCAGTGCTTTTGGCTTTGCAACAGTCATAAGCCTTCTGGCCACTGATCTAGTATCCTTATCTTGTTCACCCATGGTTCTTGGAAGACTTCCCAGATCTGCAATAATCTATCACTGCACCTGCTTATGAGTTCCCATTTTATGTCTAGAGTGTCTAAGGAGATGAGGCTAGTGGGATATTTTCTCTTTACATATTGATTCAATATCCCACTTTTTTTTTGCTATGTTCTCAATCCTGTTCCAAATCATGTCCCAAATGATCTTCACAACTCATTTTCTTTTACTTCACTGAATCTTTTTTCTAAATTAACATACTTTTCTTATCTGAGCTGAAACCTCAAGGTTTACAAACAGCTTCTCATTGCGCCAAATAAAATGTTTTCAATTTGTTTTCTTACTTAATAACTTGAAAA